TTGTTGGGATCACATATCTATAAAATAATTGAGAGTAGGGTGATTTACATATTTGTATTATTGAGTTGACCTGTCCAGGAACAAGGAGCATCATTTTATTTGTTTTTTGGGGTTTTTTTTTTAATTTTTATTTATTTATGACAGTCACACAGATAGAGGCAGAGACACAGGCAGAGGGAGAAGCAGGCTCCATACACCGGGAGCCCGATGTGGGATTCGATCCCGGGTCTCCAGGATCGCGCCCTGGGCCAAAGGCAGGCGCTAAACCGCTGTGCCACCCAGGAATCCCGTTTGTTTTTTTTTTTCCATTTTATTTGTTTAAGTGTGCTTCTGTGTCTTTCAGGAGTGTTTTTAAAATGTTCCTAGGATAGATTTGGTACATTTCTTTCTTTCTTTTTTTTTTTTTTAAGATTTTATTTATTCATGAGACAGAGAGAGAGAGAGAGAGAGATGCAGAGACACAGGCAGAGGGAGAAGCAGGCTCCATGCAGCCTGACATGGGACTCGATCCCAGGTCTCCAGGATCACGCCCCGGGCCGAAGGCAGGCGCCAAACTGCTGAGCCATCCAGGGATCCCCTGGTACATTTCTTATTAACAGTTTTATCTTTTCTGTTACTCCATAAACTGTGTGCATGTTTGAATTATGTCTTAGTCTAATAATGTAACAAAGGCTGTTGGGTTTTGTGGGGTTTTTTTAATGATTTTCTTTTTCTTCCTTGTGTTTAAGTGAGCTCTACATCTAACATGAGGCGAAAACTTACGACCCCAAGATCAAGAGTCTTATGCTCTTCCAGCTGAGCCAGCCAGGCTGTTGCTTTATATGTGTTGATTTTTGTATTCTCTTACCTAATAATATTCTTTTATTGAGTTGGTTTTGTTGTTGATTCTCTGAGTTTTCTGGATATAGTATATCACCTGCAAATAGAAATGGTTTTATTCTTTCTCTATTGATTAGTATGCCTCTAATTGTTTTTTCCAGCTGGAGATAGTGAGCATTTTGTCCTGTTCCAGGTCTTGCTGGGAATGCTTCTAGTGTTTTTCCATTAAGTAAAACTCTGACTTTAGAACTGAGAGGACTGCATAAATATACCTGAGCATATAACCTAACATATATATGTGCTTGCATGTGATTGAAATGTCTATGTGTATCATTCATACTATGCGTTTTAGGTAGGATATAAGAGTGTGTGTGTATACATATATTCGTGCTAGTGAAGTATCCATTCCTGTTTTCTTGAAGGTTTTTTTTAAATCACGTATGTATTTTGAATATTGTCAAAGGTTTTTTCAGCATCTTTGTGGAGGTAAAAGTATTTTCTTAGCTGTATTAGAATGGCATATATCTTGAACATTTTGAGGGAAGTGTTTCCTTTGATAATAAATTGCCTTGCTTTCCTGAAAGTGTCTAATGTTCATGGGCTGAAATGATAGCTTGGGTTGCTGTGCAATTCTGGGTCAAAATCTTTTTTCTTTCACAAGTCATGGCCAGTTGTCCAAGGGTTTTTTTTCAGGTGAGAAGTAGAATGGGTTACCAGGGTTGTTTTTTTTTAACTACCATGGCAGTTACAGGGGTGTTTTTTTCCCCACCTGTAACTTTTTAGAAGTTTTTCCTTTATTTTTTGGTTTTGGGCATTTTATGAGGAAATTTCTAGATCTGTATTTCCCCCCCAATATTCTTGTTTGCAAATTGGATGGCCCCTTGTGAAGTGAAGGCTTATGCTATGCTTCAGCTCAGGTATCATTTACCATTCTGCCTTTGATTCTTTGTGTCCATCCTTCTTGTTTTCTCTTTCTGAAAACTTGAACCTCTCACATCTGGCATTTGTATCTCAAGCTCTTTTTCCATCATTTCAATTTCTTGTTATCTGAGAGATTTCCTAAATTGCATATTCTATGTCTAATTTGTTATTTAAGCCTCTTGGGAGTTTTAAAAAATTCAGTAATTTATTTTTTTTTTAATTTTTATTTATTTATGATAGTCACACACACACAGAGAGAGAGAGAGAGAGAGAGGCAGAGACACAGGCAGAGGGAGAAGCAGGCTCCATGCACCGGGAGCCCGACGTGGGATTCGATCCCGGGTCTCCAGGATCGCGCCCTGGGCCAAAGGCAGGCGCCAAACCGCTGCGCCACCCAGGGATCCCAAAATTCAGTAATTTAATTTAAATTATTTAATCTTTAATTTCTAAGTAATCTTTGCTGACTGCTTTTGGGAGAATGTTCTCCTTTTATGGAAGAAGTATCCTTAATTTATTGAAAAATGTAAATCGTTAGAAAAAATGTAAGTTGTTTTCTTTTTTTTTTTTGTAAGTTGTTTTCTTTATGAAATTCTATCATTGTTGAGCTGCTCATCTTGATGCTTATCTTTTATTTACACTGTTTTCCTCAATTAGCTGATGATTCTTGATTTTTTTCAGTTTTTGAGAGAAAAATTACTACCAGCTAACATGAATATACTCAAATAATGACCCCTTTTTGCTCTTTTCTTTATGGAGGGGATGACTGCAGAGCTCTGGAAGTTAATGGATTAGGGAAATATATTTATTTATTTATTTTTTTTTAATTTTTTTTTAATTTTTATTTATTTATGATAGTCACATAGAATGAGAGAGAGAGAGGCAGAGACACAGGCAGAGGGAGAAGCAGGCTCCATGCACCGGGAGCCCGACGTGGGATTCGATCCCGGGTCTCCAGGATCGCGCCCTGGGCCAAAGGCAGGCGCCAAACCGCTGCGCCACCCAGGGATCCCAGGGAAATATATTTAGATAGACATCACTTCAGTTTTTTTCTTCCATTTTTTTATTGTAAATTACACATTATGTAAAGTTTACTATTTTAACTATTTTACAACATACAGTTCATGGCATTAAGTACATTCACATTGTTGTGCAACCATCACCACCATCAATATGGAAAACGTTCTCATCTTGCAAAACTGGAACTCTGTCTCCATTAAATAATTAACTTCCCACCCTGCCTCGCCTCGCCCCTGGCAACCATTGTACTTTATGTAGCTATGATTATGACTGCTCTAAGTACCTCACCTAAATGGAATCATGTAGTATTTGTCTTTTTGTAACTGGTTTATTTCACTGAGCATTATGTAGCCGGTGCTAGAATCTTCTTCCTTCTTAAGGCTGGATTTTACTCCATTGTACATAAAGACCACATGTTACTTGTCTCTTGATATGTTGATGGACACTTGGATTACTTTTGCATTTTGGCTGTTGTGAATAATGCTGCAACAAGCATGGGTGTATAAATACGTTTGAGACCCTGCTTTCAGTTCTTTTAAGTATATACCCAAAAGTGGAATTGCTGGATCATATGGTAATTTTATCTTTAATTTTTGAGGAGCTCTCATGCCTACAGTGGCTGCATCAGTTTGCATTCCACCAACAGTGTACGAGGGTTCTAATTTCTCCATCATGTGTTATTTCCTGGCTTTCTGGTATTAGACATCTTAAGAGATGGCAGGTGGTAACTCATTGTGGCTTTGATTTGCATTTCCCTCATGACTAGTGATGTGGAGGATTTTCCCACATGCTTATTGGACACCCATGTGTTGTCTTTGAGAAATGTCTGTTCAAGTCTTTTGCCCATTTTGAATCATGTAGGTATCTGTTGTTGGGCTTTAGGAGTTCTCTCTATATTGTGGTATGAGTCCGTTACCAAATACACAGTTGGCAGATATTTTTCCCATTTTCTAGGTTATCTTTTTCTTCTGTGGATTGTGTCTCCTTAGACACAGAATCTGTAGGCACCACCCCTGTTTTGAACTGGTCAAAAGTTGGGAGACACGGTTAAGTCAGTTGAGTCACTTTCTTCTGAGTGTAGTTCTCTGAGAGCTGCCTTCAGGAAGATCACCCATGTTCAACACAGATGGAGTTAATGTGTGTGTCCTGGTTTGCCCAAGACACTCTTGGATTGCACCCATATTCCTTCCGGTTTAACATTTATCACAGACTGAAGTCTATTTGGCCAGTGAATGTGTGACTACCACCTCCATGTGGAGGCCTGAAGTATGTTGCACTCTTCCATGTGTATGGCCACGGTGTCCACGGCCAGAGAGGTTTTCACAGCCAACACTCATCTGGCCGCTCTGGGTACCAAAAATGGAGCTGCTCGGGCTCCTCAGGTGCTCCTGTGGTTAATTGCTCTTCACCTCGGCTGCCAGCAGGGACTCTGGGCCCTCTTGATGGGCCTGGGATTCTCAAGGGCAGCCTGCAGTCCACTCTTGCTGGCGCCCAGTGTGTGCTGAGTGTAAAGCCCTGCCTTCAGCAGCTCTGGGTTTTCGTCTTCACCTCAACTCCTTGTGTCAGGAGTCTCCTCAGAGAAATTCCTGCCCAGGGAACAGCCTTCGTGTTCCAAGATTCTTCGTGTTCCAATTTATTCAAATTGGACTTTTAGGGGGTTTGGTTTTGTTTTGGCAGCAGGGAGGTAACTGTGCAGTTTATGCTCCTGAATGAGAATCATGTACTGTCGGAGAGCTGCCCCTAAGAAAGGGTCCCGCCGCCCTCTTCCTCCTACCAGCCTCTTCAGTGTCGCTGCTGCCACTGTTCCTGCCATTGGTATGTTCACACCTCTGCATCTTCTTTCCCCCTCAGTCCTATAGCAGGCCAGCACCCCCATCAAAGGTGGCTGAAGAGAAGGTCCAGGGATCAAATGCCTATTTATCCATGTGGTGTTTCCTTGCCAGACCAGAAGCTTACTGAGGGCAGGAATGCTATTTTATTCATCTTAATGTCCCCCAGAACTCAGTTCAGTTGCAAAACTCTGGAACTGAACCAACAAGGTTTTCTGGTTTGGGGGTTTGGTTTTTTAGGGGTCATGTGAAAACCAAGAGGCAGTGTGTTTCCACTGTGGTTTGTTTTCATTCCAGGGTCTAACATACAGTCAGGTTTTCAATGTTTACAGGTGGCTTTATCAGCGAACTTGGTAAGCTCCTATGCACGCACACCTCTTCCATGTTACTATTTCCAACGCAATGCCATTACAGGGGCCAGTGTCGTTCAGGGACGTGGCTGTGGACTTCACCCAGGAGGAGTGGCAGCAGCTGGAGCCCGATGAGAAGACCACCTACAGGGATGTGATGCTGGAGAACTACAGCCATCTTGTCTCCGTGGGTGAGAAGAGCTTGCTGTCTGGGTTGCTGCCCCCGGGGTGGGGTATGAGGGGCAACTGCCAATTTAATGATTTTTCCCTCAGGTTTGAAGAAATAAGTGATAGGACCTTTTCACTCCTTTTGGGCACCAGATAGGGTATTTGTATGTTTGCCTCCATTGAAGCATTCTGACTTTGCAAAGGTGCGAAACCAGCCCATTTTATCCTGTAGCCTCTAGGCCTCTGGGACAGGATCTCAGACTCAGAGTGCCCAGCAGCCCATCTGAGTCTGCCTTTGTTTCTCACAGGGTATGACAGCACCAAACCGAAAGTGATCCTCAAATTGGAACAGGGAGAGGAGCCATGGGTAGCTGAAGGTGAACTGCCATGTCAGAGTCATCTGGGTAAGTTAGCATGGTATTGTTGTGAACATGGTCACCCCGAGCCTCTGCCTCTCGTGCTTCAGCAACACATACCAGGGCACAGGCAGCACGTTGCTCCCTCCAGTGCAGCAGGCAGGCTGTTCTCCTGATTTTACATTTGATGTACACCTGAAGGCATTTTCCGTGCCAGCTAATGCCAAGGATCCAGTCACTTCCTCCTGCATCCTTAGTAACTCACCTACTCATGAGAGCACAGAATTTGGTTGTTTGCAGGCATTCAGAAGTCTAAGAGAAAAATGAACTTGAGGCTTTCTCATTCGTTCTTTGTCTTCCATTTTCTTTCTTCTTTGCTGTGAAGTGCCTCAGGCTGGTTTTCTGCCTGTTTTCACTCCCTTCTCTGTGCCAGGTACCACTCAGATACCAAAACCTTTCCCCTCCCTGAGCTGGTGAGGGTGGAGGGCGGCCACTGCCCTGCCATGGGTGCATCTGTGTGCCCTTGGGCAGTGATGAGTACAGGCCTCTAAGTCAGTCCTCCCGTGGTGATGATGTTAAAAACTGGCCCCCCGTGCTTCGGAGCCCAAATATAACTTGAAGACAGTTGGGGATAAAGAGGAATAAGAGCTTTGTTGCTGGGACGGCTGGGTGGCTCAGCGGTTGAGCGTCTGCCTTTGGCTTAGGGTGTAATCCCGGTTCCTGGATCAAGTCCCACATCGGGCTCCCTGTGAGGAGACTACCTCTCCCTCTGCCTATGTCTCCGCTTCTCTCTCTCTCTCTCTGTCTCTCATGAAAAAATAAAAATCTTTTAAAAAATAATAATAAAGAGCTTGTTGCTTTGTCAGGCAGAGGAGGCTGCAGCAGGATGTGGCCTTCACAAACTGCGAGGAAGGGGTTTGGGGTGGGGGGTTATAGGGAAATAGAGGATCTAGCCGGTTTCACAGGAATTGTCTATATGCTGCCAGCCTTGGCAGTTGTTTTCAGGGTGGAGCCAGGTCCTGAGACCACAAGCTAAGAAGGATGGTGAGGAAGGTTTGCAGGAGTGAGAGAAAAGTGTACTTTAAAATCCAGCTTTGGGATGCCTGGGTGGCTCAGCAGTTGAGCCCCTTCCTTTTGGCCCAGGGCATGATCCTGGAGTCCTGGGATCAAGTTCCACATCAGGCTCCCTGCCCGGACTCTGCTTCTCCCTCTGCCTGTGTCTCTGCCTCTCTCTCTCTGTGTCACTCATGAATAAATAAATAAAATCTTTTACAAAATTAAAAAATAAAATCCAGCTTTGCTGCAGCATCGGTGCAACCATCTTGATTTTTGTTCAGCTTTGTGTTTTAAGCGGTTTCGGTGTGCCAGAGCGGCAGTGAGTGAGGCCTTCCTCTTTTCCCCCTGCATTCCTTTGTGTTCCCACGCCTGCAGCCACCAGGGATATGCAGGGAGTGTTCACTCATAAGTGAGGTTAGCCCCCAGGACCCCGTTGGCCATTCTTTTTTGAAAAGTTCTGAGTGTATTGATCCTCATGAAAAATCCTCACAATCCCTTCAGATAAAGTCACTGCAGAGTCATTCTGTCTTCCAGTCTCAGGCTCACCATTTGCCAGCAGTCCCCCTGACTTTCCTTCGTCCTGCTCTTGTGTTCCTCTCAGTCTTTCCTTTTTTTTCTTGTCATGTATAAGCCATGTCTTGTGAGTCTGTATTTGGTTCCCTTTTTTTGGTATAATCCAAGGAATCCTAGATCATGCCAAAGCCTGTTGTCTTGCCACCACCAGAATTTCCTATTCCAAATAAAAAGCTGACGCGTTGCTGTGGTCTTGTACGTTGTGGCTAGTTGTTCCCAAATTACCGTGGCCTTCCTGGGACGAAGAACATCAGTGATCATTTGTGTCTCCTGAAGTTGTCTCTCGGTTGTGAACTTCCTGGATGGCATGGTTCGTGGGTCATTCATGATGACCTCTGAGCTTCAAACAACTAATAGAGGAAAGGAGCCTGTTTTCTGTTCTTTAGTTTTCTTCAGGTCCCTTAAAAAGGTTGCTGTTTCTTATCTTTTGTGAAATGCTTTAAAAAGTTCCTTTGTATTCTTAATTTCTTCTGACATCAGCGTAAAGGATATTTTCTCATACCTGGATTACAGTGAATCCTAGTTGGAAATTGCAAAGGCTGTTCATCTTAAATATCCACTTGATTTAACACTGGGCTGACAGGATGAGCCTGTCTTTCTTCTGTGTCTTCTGAAATAGAATTTATATTCTCTTCTCAGGTCCCACCCAATATGATGCGATGTTGCCCATCAAAATTCATGTCCTGTTACCCAGACTCTTGTTAAATCCCATTTTGTCTAGATTTCAAGACTATCATAGTCCCTCCACATGCACTTTTCTTACCCAAATTGATTTCTTTCCTTCTTTTTTTGTAGTTATAAAGAGATAACAATATATACTTGAAATTAATATAACACTGTATGTTAATTATATTTGAATTTGAAAAATAAATTTAAAAAATTTAAAAACCTACCCCAAAAGAAATATCAAGGCTCAGAAAAACACAGATGCATAACAAAATTTACCATTTTAACATTTTTAAGCATACAGTTCAAAGATAATTAACTATATTCACATTATTGTGCAATAGAACCTCTAGAACTTTACCCTTAAAAGTTCACCTCTAAAAAAAAAAAGTTCACCTCTTATTTAAGCTTTCCTTAATTACTCATTCACCACATTTGTCTCTTCCTTCTCTTGATCCCCATTCCACAGTTACCACAAAAGTTAGATATGATTGTGTATTTGTTACTTGAGCCTTTCTCTACCTGAATTAAAGTCTCCCAAAGAGTAAGGATCTTTTCACTCTGCTTTGATATGTGACATATTGAAGGCATTCTGTAGATTTTTCACAGACTGAAAACCTAGGGATGAAAGCCCTTTATTACTGATCGGTTGAGATAATTTATCCTCAACTGGGGATTTGATAAAATGGGGATGATGGGGATGCCTGGGTGGCTCAGCAGTTGAGTGTCTGCCTTCAGCTCAGGGCGTGATCCAGACTATCCAGGGTCTGGGGATCTGGGGATCGAATCATGCATTGGGCTCCCTGCAGGGAGCCTGCTTCTCCCTCTGCCTATGTCTCTGCCTCTCTCTCTGTCCCTCATGAATAAATAAATAAAATCTTAAAAAAAAAAAAAAACAGGGTTAAGGTGGTACCTGAAAGCACCCCATTTGATCAGTTAGGAAGTACTTTAGCTTCTAACCACAGAGTCCAGGAAAACTAGGAAATGTAGCCATACCCTCCTCAGATACCGGGTTTAGTTAGGAAAGGGGAACATGGCTGCCTGGATTGTTCAGATGGAGCTTTCATATAGAGTACTTACTTTCAAGTATGTGTTACATGCAATTTTGTAATCATGCTATTTTAAAAATTAATGGAAGTTAAATGGGTAAGAAGTGATTTGATAAATATTTTAAAGCTTCCCCTGAACTATAAACAGATGTTAAGTATAGCCACTGCTGGAAGCCATATTGGTGAATAAGAGCATGAGTACAGGTTTGGAAATAAATGGGCATAGCCTGGCTTCCTGGAGCAGAAGGTATTTTGGAAGATTGGTGAAATGATAGTTTGAATATATTTGTGAGTCCAGGTAATGAAAAATCTTACTGGTAAATGATAACTTCTGGGGTTTTTTTGTTGTTGTTTTTGTTTTTGTTTTTTTGTTTTCCTGTTGGTATTTGGAACTTTGGGGCCCAGGAGTAGTGTAAATTTCTGAGCACAGAACAGTTGGTGTTGCACTGATTGTGGGTGAAGACAGCTAACAGTAACTCTGAGGCTCCAAAAATTTGTGAGAGACATAGAAATAACAGTTAATCCTGTAGAGGCAGCTTTAGAAATCTGTGATTTAAGGTTTTACACTAAACAAAATCTGCACCTATGGGAACTCTTGCTGGTTTTCAGGACTCAGTTTTATTCAGTGATGTGACTGATATGAAATTTAAGTCAACAAATTGAAAGAAAATCGATGGTGTTTGTTTTGTATCATATACTGTTCTGAGAGATTTACATGCACTCAGTTGGTCCTTTCCCAGTGCTGTATTTTGGGCACATTTCAGCTGTGTGAAGCTGCAGCACTGTTAAATAACTTGCTCAAGACCCAGCCAGTAGTACGTTGGAGGTGGATCTGAATCGAGGTAGCCTCATCTCTGCTCTTTTAGCCACCTACTCTGTTGTGCAAACAGGTGCAGTTAGGGTTGAGTCAGCCATGGGAACACTTCTGAGAGCTGATGCTAGTGGCTTGGTCTCTTGTCATCTGGTCCCATCTTACATTTCCTTTGGATATTTATATGCCTAGATATCTGCTTCCAGGTAAATGTGAACAAGGACAAAAAAAAAAAAAAAAAAAAAAAAAATGTGAACAAGGACTGGGGAGTTGGAGCCCTGGTTGTAGGATTATCTCTAAAGATGAGGAGATAGGAATTTGTAAAATGTATATTTGGATTTATGTGCAGAATAGAAAGACAGATTTTGAAGGGTGTGGGCCAGTGAGGATGTCATCATAGTAATCTTAGTACGAAGTAGTACTTTACAATGTAATATAATTGCTATCTCTTACTGCCAGTGTAATCCATTCTTGGATGTTTTCTTTGAACATTCATGCATGAATTGCTCTTGCTCTCTCGCTGAACTGACGTAGTCAAGAGACCTCCCATTTCTGCCTTAATCTGTGCTCTTACAGTGATGTTGCCCTCTGCTCACCAGTTCTTGGGTTTATTTCACCTTTTCTACCAGTTTTGAACATGTTTGTGAAGTAACAAAGGTACTTGTGTTCAGTGTGAATTTACTATCCCTTTTTTTCTCTAGTGCTGAGTCCTGTCCCCCGTCATCCATTCCCTGTGCCTACCCCACCCCACTCCCATGTGTGTGGGGGGATCTGTCTTATGTGACAAATCAAGGGGAAAGGGGGTCTGTATACTTGTGATGATTTTTATTTGTGGAGATTGGCTGTAAAGCCAGAGTCAGCTCCACAGTAGGGCACTTGAGTAACACTCCCATCTGATACCTGTGTGTTCAGATTCTCAAGATTTGTTTAATTGTATTCCTTTGTAGAAGTCTGGAAGGTTGATGACCTGATAGAGAGAATCCCAGGAAATGAAGAAGAACATTCAAGGCAAGCTATTTCTGTCAATGACAAAACCCTGATTGAAGAGAGAGAGAATGTATTTGATAAAACATATAATGTGGAAACAAGCCTTGTTCCTTCAAGCATAATATCTCATACTTGTGTCTCATGTGGAAAGAATTTAGAATCTACTTCAGAATTAATTATTAGTGATGGAAGCTATGCAAGAAAGAAACCTGATGAGTGTAGTGAATGCGGGAAGATGTACCATGGAGGGAAACCCTATGAATGTAATCAAAATGGGGAAAGCTATTCTCAAAATGAAGAAAGTATTCTTCAGAAAATTAATATTTTGGAGAAACCCTTTGAATATAATGAATGCATGGAAGCCTTAGACAATGAAGCTGTTTTCCTTGCTCATAAGAGAGCTTATATAGGGGAAAAGCCCTATGAATGGAATGACTCTGGGTCAGACTTCATCCAGATGTCAAGTTTTAATGTATACCAGAGATCACAGATGGAATTGAAGCCCTTTGAATGCAGCGAATGTGGAAAATCCTTCTGTAAAAAGTCAAAATTAATCATACATCAAAGGGCCCATACAGGAGAGAAACCTTATGAATGTAATGTTTGTGGGAAATCCTTCAGTCAAAAGGGGACTCTCACTGTCCATCGGAGATCACACTTAGAGGAGAAGCCCTATAAATGTAACGAATGTGGGAAAACCTTCTGTCAGAAGTTACATCTCACCCAACACTTGAGAACTCATTCAGGTGAGAAGCCCTACGAATGTAATGAATGTGGGAAAACCTTCTGCCAGAAGACCCATCTCACCCTACACCAGAGGAATCATTCAGGAGAAAGACCCTATCCTTGTAACGAATGTGGGAAATCCTTTTCCCGCAAGTCTGCCCTCAGTGACCATCAAAGAACGCATACAGGAGAGAAACTTTACAAATGTAATGAATGTGGGAAATCCTACTACCGAAAATCTACCCTCATTACACATCAGAGGACACACACAGGAGAGAAACCCTATCAGTGCAGTGAATGTGGGAAGTTCTTCTCTCGGGTGTCATACCTCACTATACATTACAGAAGTCACTTAGAAGAGAAACCCTATGAATGTAACGAGTGTGGGAAAACCTTCAATTTAAATTCAGCCTTCATTAGACATCGGAAGGTACACACAGATGAGAAACCCCACGAATGTAGTGAATGCGGGAAGCTCTCTCAGTTCTCCTATCTCACTGACCATCCTACAGCTCCTTTGGGAGACAAACCCTATGAATGTAATGAGTGTGGGAAAATCTTCCTTGACAGTTCAACCTTCAATGGGCACCAGTCGCTTCCAAAAGGGGAGAAATCCTATGAATGTAACATCTGTGGAAAATTATTTTCTGAGTTGTCTTACTACACAATACATTACAGAAGTCATTCTGAAGAGAAACCCTATGGGTGCAGTGAATGTGGGAAAACCTTCTCCCATAATTCATCCCTCTTCAGACATCAAAGAGTGCACACAGGCGAGAAGCCCTATGAGTGTTACGAATGTGGGAAGTTCTTCTCTCAGAAGTCCTATCTTACCATCCACCACCGAATCCATTCAGGAGAGAAGCCCTATGAATGTAGTAAATGTGGGAAAGTCTTCTCTCGGATGTCAAACCTCACTGTACACTATAGAAGCCATTCAGGAGAGAAGCCCTATGAATGTAATGAATGTGGAAAAGTCTTTTCTCAGAAGTCATACCTCACTGTACACTATAGGACTCATTCAGGAGAGAAACCCTATGAATGTAATGAGTGTGGGAAAAAATTCCACCACAGGTCAGCCTTCAATAGCCATCAGAGAATTCACAGGAGAGGTAATGTAAATGTACTGGATGTAGAGAATCTCCTGTGAAGCCAAAACCCTCTGAGTTTGACGAAATCTAATAGGGAGTTGGATGTCATTGAGAGTTAGTATTTCTGAATGGGGAAAACCATTTAGGCATTAGATTCATCACCACCTGATTTCTCACAGAAAGGAATCCCTAGGAATGCAAGAAGAAGCAAAGCCTTCTGCAAGGTCCTACAACCCATTGGGCACAAGATAATTTATACAGGAGTGAAACATGATGAATATTTAATATTTATTTTGGAATTCAAATTGTATTTACATATCAGGGAATCATACCAAGGCAAGATCTGTCAGAGTGATGAATGTGGAAAAACATATTGTCTTGGAAATTGTTATACTAAAAGCCATATTTCTGATGTAAATTCCACTGTTTATAGGAAAACTATCAGAAGCTATCAGCTCTGAATAAACCATTATATAAAATGAAGTTTTGGAATCATCAGGAGCTTAAAATGAGGACGGTAGCATTAAACACATATATGGCAGTTTCTATCATGTTTTAAAAATATGGTCTAACAGTAATTCTATGCAAATTTGGGGTTGAATTTTTGGGAAAAGGCAGTATTCTAATTTGAGTCTTAAGTTGGCAAAGTGTACTAATACAGGCTATATGTTTTTGGTGAGACATTTGCTAGATACCGGATAATTAAATACATAATTTTCTATTGGGAGGCATTGACAAATGAGTTTTTAGTGAATGCCCCATCAATAAAACCTAAGCTGTGGGTTTTGTAGTGTTTTCAACTACATTTGAGCAAAAAATATTTTTAAAACACTATTTTCATAAACTATGCATAGATGACTTGGAGTTAAGTCTGGGTCAGTAGAAGGCAGCATCCACATTGTTATCTGTAGAATACACACAGCTCTCATGCCACTCCACTTATCTAATCAATAGGTTTAAGTGCACAGTATGCCAATACAATGTCTTTCAGAAACGTCATCTCTCCTTTTATTTGACATGAATATTATGTCATGTTTTTGTGTGCACTGCCCCTCATTCCCAGTATTTTGGAACAAATACAAGTTTCTAGCAGTGTCCTTAACTCAGTGTCCTTTCTCCCCTTATTCCTCTCTGGAAGAGTTTGTCCACCATTTCCTCACATGACAGATTCATCTGAACCAATCATGATAATTCCACTCCAGTTGCCAGTAATTGTTTATATGGTCACATGACTCAGTTCTGGGCCAAGGAATGTAAGGGTCATTTAAAAATCAAAAATTAATCACTGGACTACATCACATGGAAGCAAGTAATCTAAGATGCAAAGAAGTCATGTGATAAAGTTAACATCCATTTGTGTTCCTCATAAGCTATGAATTTGAAAAGAACTTCTCTACTTGGATGAAAAGTATTTAAAACTACAAGCACCAGCATATCTAATACTAAAATATTGAAAGTTTTCTCCAGGTTGCAAAAATGAAAAAAAGATTAAAAAGGGTATCTCCTGTCACTAATTATATTCAGTATTCTGCAGAAGGACCTAGCCAGGAGAATAAGGGAAGGAAAATAGTTAAACAGTAAGGATTAGAAAGAAGTAAAACTTTTATTTTCATTTGACATGATTTTGTACATTGAAAGTTTTGAGGAATGCACAGATAGTTAGAATTAATAAATTTAGCAAGGTCCCTACATACAAGCTTATGCAAAAATAGTTTTTTAGTATACCAGCAGTGAACATAAAAAAATGAACATCTTAAAAGCAATGCCACTTACAGTAGCATCAGAATCCTCAAGTGCCTCGAGGGAAAATGACCTAACACCATGTTTTTAAGAATCGTGTCCAGAAAAATAATTCGCAGAACTCAAGAGAGACATATCTAGTTCATGGACTCCAGCACGGTCTTAAAAAGATACCAATTTTCCCCAAAATTAATTCATATGTTCAGAGCAATCTTAAAAGTCTTAGTAAGTTAATCAAAAGTAAGCTAACTCTAAAATTCAAATGAAAATTCAGAAGACCAGTAATAGTCCAGGCTATTTTCTGGAATAGGTGGAGTGAAAACTTACATTGCCAGATATCAAGGAAGGCCTGTCCTAAAGCTGCAGAAGTTATAATTGTGTGGTATTGGTGCAGAGATACATTGACTATTGGGACAGAATAAAGATTCCAGAAACACCCATATATAATACAGTCACTTGGTTTTTGATGAAGATGATAATGCAGTGTAATGGGAAAGGTACTGTTTAATAGAAAAAATGGATTGAGATGGATTACAGATCTGAATATGGCATGTAAAATAAAGCTTTCAGAAGAAAACTTAGGCTGTATGTAATCTTATAGAAAGGAAATTTTTCTTAAGACCCCCCCCCATCACTAAACTATAAAATAAAACCAGTTAGTTTGGATATATTAATTTTTTGGAACTTATGTTTGTCAAAAGGACCCCCATTAAGAAAGCACATAGGCAAGAAATGGGGAGAAGGTACTTGCAACTCATGTATCTGACAGCAGACTTGAGTGTAGAGGAGGAGTTGGTGATCATTTTTGGAAGGGGCCAGATAGTAAGTACTTGGGGCTTGTGAGCTAGGTAGTCTCTGTGAACATGTCTGTGTTTCAATAAAACTTTATTCACCAACACAGGCAACAGTCTGGATTTGGCCCAAAGGCCACAGTTTCCAGCCCTGGATCTAAAAATTGAAAAAGAACAATTACAAACCAACAAGAAACAAATAGAAAATGGGCAAAAGATTGGGACATCCACTTAACAAAAGAGAATATCCAGATGGCCAGTAAACACAAAAAGGTATGTTATTTTTGTTAGTAATCAGGGAAATGCAAATTTAAAACACTATGTGGTACTACCACCTGCCCACTGATACGGTTAAAATGAAAATCATGAAAAAGAAGTTTTGGCAAGGATGTAAGCAGCAGGAAGCCTATTCTACTGGAGGTATTGCCAACTAGTTTGACCATTTTGGAAAGCTGGCACTTTGAACGTGCATATACCCTTTTAACACAAACCTAGCAGATAGGTGCACATATATCAACCAAGGGACATGCTAGAATATTCATGGCGTAAAACTGCACAGACCAGAATTCTCCGAAGGCATGCATGCTGTAGAATGAATGAACCTAAGTGGTATGTTTCATTGCAGAAGACTACATACAGAGTGTTGAGAACAAGTGGACCGTAAGTATTTGCAGTGATAGCTCAGTTTCACAGAGACAAATGACGGGAGCCAGACACAGAAGCATCCACACTGCATGACTCTGTAACATATAAGAGGAGAAAAACTTGTCTTTACAGTTAGAAATCAGGATAGCAGCCAGCTGTGGAGAAGACTGAAAGAGGGTATTTATCTGGTGCTGGTAATACTGTTCCTAAATCTGGGTGCTGAATATCTGAGTGTTCTGTACACTTAAGATATGTCTTTTTCTGCATGTATATTTTAAAATCCTGCATCATTTTGTGCAGGAACTATTCTTTAGAGTAGTTTTAATGGCAACTACAGATATTTCCTTCACTGTGACCTTAAAACTTAATATAAAGTATATTTTAAGTAAAATATTTGAAAAGGTGACAGGGCCATTACATATTTTGTCATCCTATCCTTTTGCATATATAAATGGGTCTGAACTGCCTCTTCCAATAAAGAACTAATGTGTGTAAACATTTTACATTCTCTCAAATGATTTTTCACATTCTGAATTTGGGATGCGCCTTCTGCATTACCGTCATAGAGAGGACTTGCTTGGAGGTAAATACAGTAATAATGAGGTCTTTGAATCGATGGGGAGTAGTACTTCTGTTTCCTTTTGGCAAATGTGAGATACTCCAATAACAGCACAGGTGTTTGTGAAAGAATCAGCCCAAACTTTGTGTCATAAAGAGCGCGGGGTGGGGTAGGGTGGGAAGACTGCTGGCTGAGCTCAGGGGCACAGCAAGGGCAAAGGACCACGGGATGGAGTGGACTGTGTGCACATGATTTGATTTCCTCTTTCTCATACTAGGCAAAGCTTGAAGTTTAAACAAATTAATGACTTGCTAAAGGAGCAGATTGGGGCTTGGTGGTATGCTCCCCCACACCAGCTGCCTGTTTGTTCTCTCCATCTGCTAGGCTTAACCACTAGGCATGTTAAGGAGAGTCAGGCACAGCCATGGCTCCCCTTCCATACCAGCCTGAGCCTGCCTCTTTCATCATGGGGTTGCCTCCTCCATCCCCATATTTACTACTGCTCAACTTGGCATCAGTAAACTTTTCAGATTTTCCCCCCTTTAAAGTCTCTTAAATACGCCAGATGTTAATGCTAGACCTCTTATACTTGAGGGTGAAACGACCCGCTGCTCTTCACTGCATCCTAAATAATGCCCAGTTCAGTGGTCCATCCAACTGAGTCCTTTAAAGAGAGGGAATGTGTGACCCATCGCACAACAGCGTTACAGTATTCCCCAAATTAAATTATTCAAAGGCTATGAAGAAGTACAACAAATACGTAATCCCCTATCCCCTGCCCAGTCACCACTGAGGTAATCACGACAAAAAAAAAAAAAAAAAAAAAGTCGCCTTTCACGTTTAAGAAATCAGATTGCTGTAGTGCCTTTCAAATTGGGGAGCTAGTTGAATTGTTCACTTGTGAGCTGAGTATGGAGTGAAAATAATGCTGAGAAATCCTCCAAGGGAAGACAGGACAGTGGTCTCTCAATGGAAGAACATGTGGCCCCTGGACAGCAGAGAAACAGGTGCAAATATGGCATCTGCCAGGCACAGCTCCAGAACTGTATTCACACAACCAGCTGACTTGAACAGGAAAGCCAATGCTTAGCTCAGTACCACCAGACCAACCCTCAGCCTAGCAGGACTGGGGAGTAGATGGAACACACATGCAAGATGCAGCACCCTGATGCCATACCTCCCAAAACTAAGCTTTCCCGGCAACAGAAGAAATTTGGCTTATTTTAGTGGTTGGAAAGGAAGGAGAATCCTTTTGCAGCATGATTGTCTGGTCGGCTGGACAAACAGGAAGTCCACACCAGCTTTGCCAGCTTTGGGGCACTGGGAAACAGTGTGAGTGGCTTTTCCTGCGGGCAAGATTGCAAGAAAAGGAGCTCTAGCAAAATCTGAGACTTCCGCCACTGAAAAGGAACAGATTGAACACCTCCGCTGGATAAACATCCTCAAAGAAAGTGTATTGGTAATGTGAGGTAGGGATGGAAAAGAGGTGAAATGTTGAATATGAACAGAGAAGATTCAGTAGTTCAGGTGAGCTGGTGGTTGATAGCTGAGAGGTACTGCGTGGCAAGCAGTGTTTGCAGAGCACCTCAACCAGAATCAAGAAAATGTGCTGAGGAAGGGGTACAGATGGAGGTTTCCGCAAGATGACAGGAGTCCCCGAACTGGGTGCAGAGGGGGAACTACTTGAGGGGGGGGGTACTTACTTTCATATATTTGGCAAAAAACCAAAATGACCTTAAAAGAACAGCTGGTGCTCAAAACAGAAAAGATAAAAAAATCAAAGGATGTAAGGATACTGAAGATAAAATTTTGCAAGGCAATCACTCAGAATAATTTCTCATCTTCCGTTTTTGACTGTTGTGAAGTTAATAAAAACCAGATTTGCCCTTCTGACTAAACTGAAAAATTGGACAAATTAAAGTCCAGCATTGGGACAGTGGGCACAGGACGGTTATCCGCAGGGGCGCCCAGCGCGCTCCCTAGACATCTTCCGAGCCACAGTGTGAGGAAAGGCACCCCAAGCCGCTGGGCGGGCTTCGCAAGCGGAACACAGGAGAGCCCCCAAACACCTGTGACTCCAGGGCCTCGCTCTACAGGTAGAGGTGTGGCTCTGGCCTAGGGCGTGGCCTGCTGTGATCGGGGCGTGGTCAGGGACAGAGGCTTGTCTCGACTCCAGGGGGTGTGGCTAAAGGATGTGGGTGTGGTTATACCTTGAGGGTGTGGCCATAGTAGGACGATTGGGTGGTGTGTAACAGCGAGTGGGGCGTGGCTGTCCTGGGGGCGTGATCTTTGGAGGTTGGGTGTAACAATACGTGGGGGCGTGTCCAGGGGCGGGGCTCGGGGCGGGGCGTGGTCGGTAGTGGGGCGGGGCTGCGGTTGCAGAAGGCGTCCGAAGCTTCAGGGGCCGCTCGGACGAGAAACGTCTGGATCTAACAGCACTTGGGGATCCGGCGGCCAGCGACCGGCTGTGGGCGGAAACGAGGGCGGCGGGAAGACAAGCAGGCCTGCGGGCAGGTGAGGAATGTTGGAGGCTCGGGCGTGAGGGCCGGGCCCCCGGGGCGGTGGGCCTGGCGTCGGTAAGGGGGAGGGGACAGAAGGGGGTGAAGGGGGGATTGGGCGGAGTGGGAGGCGGACAGAGGGCAGAGCCTCTGATCACCCGTCCCTCGCCGCCTCTCCAGCCGCCCTGCCTGCCGGGCCATGTGGCACCCGCTGGTCCTGATGCTGCTGCTGTTCCCTGCCGTCTCCATCCCCAGCGCCACTGCCGCTCCCATCCCGGATGCCAGGAGCCAGGACAGCCTGCAGATCGTGCTCCAAGGTTGCAACTGCTTCTTGGGGGTCTGGGGAGTGGAAGGAGAGAAGAAGGGCGGAGCAGACAGCAAGAGAAGTCAGAGGAACAGAGGAAGGGGGAGAGAGATGAGAGAGGGGGTCTGAGGGACAGAAATACGATCATATAACAGGACAGACGAAGGGCAGGGATGAGGAAGCGGGACGGAATAGAGACAAGAGACCGAGATAAACACAGGGGACAAAATGGAAGTGTGGTCCGGCTGGTTTGACCCCTAGGGTCAAAGGGTGGACAGGGAAGGGGGTGGAGGGACAAAGAGCCCAGCCTGGAGGGAACTTGCTGTGAGACAGGGACAGCTTCCCCTCCGCCCCAGGGGCTTAGATGCCTCCCCAGGAACTGCCACCACACAGAGGAGCAGTAGCACCAGAAAGCCCCTCCTGGAGCTCAACCTGTTCTCCTTCACCAGGTGCTCAAGCTGGAGGAAACAGAGCGCCCTGGGCATTCCCAAATCGAGTCCCTCACTCTGGCTGTCCTCCTGGGTTATGAGGTGGCTGCTGTGGTGGTGCAGCCCCAAAGCCCAGGAAGCTGGCCTGTAGTTCTGTGAGAAGCCTCCATGGCTACAGGCCATCTACAAGAGGCTTCTTAAAGGGGGCCCACCTGGAAGGGAGACCTGGGTCCTCCCTCAGCTCAAACAGCCCACCCCCAAGACCTACTTCAGGCTAATCAGCAGCTGTCGGGGCTGGGGGTGGGCACCAAGGCGGGGGACAGACATGTATCTTTACCAGCCCCCATCCTCAGCTCCATGTAGAAATAAAGTTTCTTACAGCCAGCTGTGCTATTTCTTTCACAGCCAGTCCCCATCACCTAGCCAACCAAAAATAATTTCTTCTATCTAATTTACAAGCTCCACTGGCAGCAACATGGTGTGTGATGCTTACCAGAGAGTGTGGCTCACATTTAGTTCTCAAAAACATTTTGTTGACAAGAATAGATGTACACAGTTGAGTCCACTGTGTGCTGTCTGGATGGACCCCCTTCTCTGATGCTCCAGCCCCAAGCTCCAACTTCAATATTGCCTAAAGTGGTGATCACATTGGACTGTTTAAAAATATTAGAGTCCTATTTTCCTAATGATGAAATTGAAGATAACACATGTTGATGGGTCAGTGAAAAGAAATAGGTCATTCATCATGGGGGACCTCTACCCCTTTCAGAGGTGAAGAAGCACTATTTGTTAAATTAAGTTGTGAGGTTAAAGTGATGACATATTCCTCTTTGGTTCTGTGTTCTGGTGTCTGTGTGTCTGGGCCTATGGCAACATGGGCATGGGCAACTATATACTCCAGCCTGTGAGGGTAGGTCCCTGCTTGATCCAAGCCAGAGGAGCTGGCCCACAGTGGCACCTACCTTTAGTAGATGGTGGAGCCAAATAAACGTGGGGACATAGAGAAAACGGGCAGGCAGGGGGCTGAGCTGGAGGCCAAAGAGGTCAAGACTGCTGATGGAGTGGGCCTGGCATAAGGCCAGATGGGTGGATCAGGTGGCAATTATAAACTGGGCTCGGGGGCACCAGTTAAGCATCTGGCTCCTGATCTCAGCTCAGATCTTGATCTCAGGGTCGTGAGTTACAGCCTCACATTGGGCTCCATGCTGGATGTGGAGCCTATTGAAAAACAAAAACTGGGCCCAGGCAGGGCTCAGGGTGCAGAGCTGGTGGGGGAACAGCTGTATAAGGACCCATGTGAGCATACCTGATGGAGATATCAACCAGCAAGAAATGGCTCCCTAGGGAACCCTGGGTGGCGCAGCGGTTTAGCCCCTGCCTTTGGCCCAGGGCGCAATCCTGGAGACCCGGGATCGAATCCCACGTCGGGCTCCCGATGCATGGAGCCTGCTTCTCCCTCTGCCTATGTCTCTGCCTCTCTCTCTCTCTCTCTGTGACTATCATAAATAAATAAAAATTAAAAAAAAGAAAAGAAATGGCTCCCTAATGGTGCAGGGGGAGCCTGCAGGATGGTTGCTGTGCCCTATTTTCAAGCCACAGTGTGACTCAGGTTGCTCTTCGGGTTGTCTCTCAGACCTCAGGCTGATGGAACCATCCAATCAAATGGCAGCTGCTTCTGCTAACAAATTCCTGTCCAGTGTCAGCAGGGCCTGGT